TAGGGAAAGGACCAGCTGAGGATGCATTTACTTGGTGTCCCACACACATGGTTATCGCTCCTTCAAAGAGCACAGGGGCACAGGACCCTGTTTTGCAAATACCAGGGGTGCAGGAAGTGCTTGGGAAGGATGAGTTATGAGTCTGGAAAGGGAAAACCAGTCTAATTTTTTGCAAGTGTCAGGCTCCTCAGCTGATGGCAATCAGCACATCCTCAGCCACTTCACAGAGGTGGAGTGATTGGTGCCCACTAAAGAACCGTCCATGAAATTCAGATTTGCTCTGACACAGCAATAGACCTAAGAGTGATGGTGGCCCTTCTTCATCCCCCATTTACACCGTAGGGAGCTCGTGTCCACAGAGGGAGAACATCCTCTGGCTGGTTTTTCTCTTGGACTACAAAGGGTGGCTTCATCTTGTGCACTTTAATGAGCAGCAACTATTTGCTTGCCTTCACCCACGTTCAGTCGAGAGCTTTCTGTGCAGAGCTCCCAGCCAAATGAGAGAGAGGGAGAGAAAAAAGCACCTTTGAAGTGGAGAGCTAGAACCAGGAGAATCCGGTAGGACAGTTTCAGGAGCATTTAAACAGCAGCAGAGGAGCCCCAGCCCCTGGGCATGCCCTTGCTGTAGCTGCCAGCTCTCCCTGAGCTGGATGTATCTTCTCAGATGTAAAAAAATCAGCAGGACCTGAGACTGTGGATGTCCAGGCTGGCTGCAGTTATCCACAGGCAGGAGTGTTACAGGTTTGGTGTTAAAAGTATGTTGAGTACAATTTTGCATTCAGATTTGTTCCTGTAATTACATGTTCAACACAAGTCCTGGGAGCTAATGTTTTTTCTCTGGGAAATTAATTGGGGAAACCAACCTACAAAATGGAATGATGGAATATTAAGGAAATGCATTCTAATTGGCTGTTATTTAGGCTTTATTTTAAAACACTGCTGCTGCTTTCACTGGTAATGCAGTTTACTGAATCACTATAGAAGGCACAAAGAGCTGTAGCTGTGTCATCATCATCTCACAATTAAATTTACAAGCACTGGAGATTTCATTAGCAAGTATTAGACTCAAAGAGACAGATACATCATTCACATAATTTTTATTAAGTACAGCAAAGCTGTTTTTCCAAAGCTAATAAAATGATAAAAATAAAATCTGTCTCCATCCTCAGAGACCTTCAAAACACGACTGTTCAGTCCTGAATAGTCTCAACTGGCTTTGAAGTTATCCCTGCTTTGAGCTGGGCAGACCAGAGAGGTTCCTTCCAATCTAATCTTTTTTTATGATGCTGTGTGTTCCTGCTTTCGTACCTCAAACTAGAGAGAGCAACGGGCTGTGTGAACTGGAACTGCTCTGCCACCCCAGGGCAATTTTGCAGCTCTTTCTTCTCCAGGAAACACTCTGATACTCAGCTCTATCTTCCTCTCAGTCTCTGTTTGTCAAACCTGACCTGCAGACCCTGCCCAAGCTGGGGAGGTGACCTGGGTGTCCAGCTGTGAGCAGAGAAAGGGAAAACAGACTTAAGGATGTAACTGGTGTTGCCCATATGAGCAGCTTTGGGAGCTCAGTGAGCTTCCCACCACAGGAAGCTGAGGCTGTTTTCACCTTCAATGCAAAATTCTAGGGAGTGTTGTTTTTGGGGTTTTTTTTTCATAAAGGCACATTTTGAACTGTGACATCCTCTTGGATGAGCTGTTTTCCTGTTTCTTCCTTCTTTAGGAGCCAAGATCGGGCACATCCCCAGTGACAGGGACAAGGGCAGATCTAGAGCACTTAGCACATGCCCTGGGTTGTACAGATGGAGAATGACTGAGGAGGGAAGGACCCCAACTAGCAGCACCTTTAGCTCTGCCAGCAGCAGATACAAGAGTAGCTGGGGCCTGATTTGCACGCGGGACACACAACCATGTAAATAAATACCATACTTGTTTGTCCTGGGCTTAGCAGAGCTTTCTTTGGTTTATTGTCTCATCAATGCTTTGTTTGTTTTGTGTATGTACAATCCAACCCACCCCAGCATTTCAGAAGCCTCATGGACAAGTAGAAGGCAGTAGGCAGTTTTATTCCTATCTGACCACACACCAGTTTGAGACCAACTCAGCCTACCAGTCCATAGCTATACAGTGTATTCTGTAAGATATAGATATGTGAGAATAATGTATCAGAGTTTTGTTTTGGCTGAACTGTATGTATTTGCTTCATTGGAAAAGCTGAAATCAATAAAAATTGCTGGAATTTCTTCAAGTTCCCTGCTTCAGGTGGTTTTCTTTTGGTTGTCGTGCCCATGTTAGGAAAGGATAAAGCAACTGTTGGAAAGGTTTGTAAAAGCCTGTTCCCCTGCAGCAGTGACCAGTCTGGGCTGCTCTGCCCTGGGCCAGCATGAGGAATGAAGCCATGAATCACATCTCCACCACTGCATCTTTGACAAGCCTCAGTGGGTTTTTCTCCCACGAGCTTTTGCAGTCACCTCTTCAATCCCTGACACCCCCTTCCCCATCGGGGTGGGTGGAGCAGGGACATCCACAGCAATATTTCCCAGATTAAAGTAAACCT